GCGGGGTTGTGTGAAAACCGCAGTCCATTGGGAGCCGGTGTCCAGTTCGTCGGATCATACGCCCTTTGGACGGGGCCAAACGTCCAAGGTACTCAATACACCTCGATGCCCAAATGAGCCCGTGACCACTGCCACAACCTGGAAGGTGTGTGGTTCGTACGCCTCCTCTTAATTGGTTTGGAATCAGGGTTTTCAGCCAATTCTCTTAGATGAACTGCCAGTGGTCCACCAAACCGGTTACAGCCCCGGATGTCAGCCTTTCATCCTCTCACTTTAGTGGGAAAACACCTCCGCCACGAGAAGGCAGTGAGTAAGGCTTCCTCAACAGCGGCTGTTCGAGACGCTTGGTCGTATGGGAGCATTTCGCGAGGTAAAAGGGAAAAGTAACCAGCCGCAACCCTAGACACCCACCCCCGTTCATACTGAGGATGTCGGAGGCTGTCTTGGGTACAGGAATAAATCAATTGAACGAACACTCCAAGTCCAGTTTGGCGCGGCTACTATTGAGTGCTTTGTGTCCCACTGACGTGGTAGCAGCATACATTGACCTGGCCAATTTTCGCGGTCAACAGACCGACTTGTACCGTGCTCAGTGCACTTATATGACTCACAAATGTCTACTTCAGCTGATTTCCATCAGACCGTGGTGTTTTGTTCATGTTTTTTAAAGTATTTTTGCTTCCTTTTTATTTATCGAATACACTAATGTACAGTCGGCTTTCAAGAAGGGGGCTGCCTCCATACAAAAGCTGCTTGGCGAAACAGGGTAGACAAACGGTGGTGGAGCGGTTCGAACACGGGACTTCCATGTCGCAACTTGGTGACCAAACCACTTGGCCATCACTTCAGTCTTGAAAGCTGGCGAAATTAGGTTACTACACATCTGAATCCTGGGTTTGTACCCGTGACCATTGAAAGGTACATTTGATGCCCATTACAAAATTTATAGTCCACGCGTAGTATGGTGTTCATATACCAGTGGGACGATGCGCGAACAACAATGGAAATATGCGGGTGTATAATGTCATCAAGTTCACAGTCAATGGTTTTGTACTTCGATGAATTGCAAGTGTCCTTTGTGGGTGTTTGTATGCACAAAAGAGAGCGTAGCTGATGAGCCACCCACGATTAGATTCATGTTACTAACCGAAGAAAAAAGTCATCAATTTACTGAAAATACAAATTTGTTGGCAAGAAAAACAGAATGTAAGATTGTGAATATGGAAGAGAAAAATGGACCAACTATCACACTGTCGTCTCGTTTAAATATGCAGGGAATCTAACCCATTTTCTTATTTGGATTTCACCAGAAGTACCCTCCGAGTCTCTATTCACATAGAAAATGACCTATATTTTCAAAGAAGATGAACGCCTTCGAGGATCCAGTTTAAGTTATCTGGAAGGAAAATGTAATACTGGAATGGTAGTCAGAATCGAGTAGCGCGAACTCGGACTCGGGCTGAAAATCTACTGAAAAGCTCAAAGTTCGGTAGAACGAAGACGCTCTATAGATACAGTTAGTTTTCTTCAGAAAACCACGCAAATAAATATCAAAAGTGACAAACAATCATGAGCAGATTCTTCGATGTCCATGCACGATGACGGTATGATCCGTTTGGTTGTTTTCTTGCACTCAACTAATCCGATTGCTCCGACTTGAGACGACCACCATAGATTGGTCAAGAACGCTATCTCCTGATTGGCTACCCAAAAGCTGCATCGTGGTGGGTGCGTGCGTGCATGCCCGTTGCACGACCAACACAAATTTCCTCCCTCAGCAGTGTCCTGATAATTGCAAATTTCTTTACCTCTCCCGACGATCGATTTTCTGTGTTCACTCTCAAGTTCGATCTAATCCATCTGGCGCTTCACCGTATGCGAACTTCACATGAGTCAAATCGGAGCAGTATCCACCTTGATACCAACGCCTATTCGTATTAGCTGATTTTCTGGAACATAAACTGGCGAATAAATCGCAGATCTTTTCAGACCACTCAATCTTGCCGATTGAAATGTGCACTGAAATCGTGCATCTGTTGTCGTCATCTTACTCAGTTTGATCTAAGTTGGAATCATTTCACTCTACTACTGATAAGTGATGCTGCATGCTAATACAGAGTTGATGGAGGAACTTGTGTAGTGAAGAAACATGCTCTGAAATACCATGAGTTGGAAATAAAATGAAACCGTTTCACCACCTGATTGACGGTCACCTTCTTCCAACTCTTCTATTTTACATTTAACTTACAGTTAATTGTGAGTAGTGTTGTGGAATATTGGATATTGGTTGATTGATTGATCGATTAGAACTGACCATCATTCAGACTTCACCTTCACGCACATTCTTCAGCTCTTCCAGTCAACACACTAGACTCTTTTTTAAGTTAGATTTCGATAAACCTTTCATAAAAAAACGTGCAACATAAAATATACAATGTGTTTGCATAAATTGGTTTTGGGCAAACAGAGGGATATACAGACGAATGCCCACCGCTTCTGCTGTAGCCAGCATCAGACAGCGGACCTGCCTCAATAATCGCCCACAAAATTTATGCAGGGGTTGGAAAGCCTCGGACACGTCCACAATGTGATTTGTTTCAGCTAGGTGTGAAACCACTGGACTGGTGAGTGCCTTAATCGTTCTAGTGTTCAGCCACGCAGGGTGGTGTTCACAAATCCTTTCGGAAAATCGCCTGACCGTGCGGCCTATGTGCGTTGTTCCACAGGAACAAGAAAATAAGTATACATAGAATGAGACCGCTTTTCAAGAATTTATTCATGGCGAAACTTGAAAACACTCAATTAAAGTCATCCACCGAAGACTGTGTACTATGCACACGGTACGCAGATGAAATTTGTTGTGTGATCCATGCAACATCAAACACAACGGAACTATTAAACAGATTCAAAAGTGCACATCCCAACATAAAATTTACTTTAAAACTGGAATGTAACAACAAATTGCTGTTCCTAGATGTCTGCAGCACCAGCTGATTAAATGGTTCGGTGCAGCGTTCCGTGCATAGAACGGCAATTTGGAAAGGCCAATACATTAATTGCCGAAGCTTTATGCCACTGAAGGTAAGAAGGAACCTGGTTCGTTGCCTAGCGGATAAGGCAAGAAAGACCTGCAGTGAGAACACGCCAGAAAAAGAGCTCCGTATCATAAAATCGATCTCTGCGCGAGGGTTTAGTCAACAAGATGACTCAGTGTACGGAAAAATCTGCACAAAACATGGAGGTTAGCAAAAAATCCGTATACATTTCTCTGCTGCTCAAAGGGAACACATCAGCTGAGATCATACAAAAAAGATTATCCGACGCAATCGACTAAACTTTCTAAGCACCCAAGCTTCGTGTGTTGTTCACGTCCAAGCCAACTGTGTGTTTGCAGATGAAAGACAATTAGTAGTGTGGTGATCCAGACTTCCGTGACCGCATTCCAGGCACGACCAGGTACAGTTTCATGTCATCCAATCACCGTTCAGGAAGCTCAACCGAGCGAACATGACATCCGAGTTAGTACATTTGATGCGTCGGCACAAACCGTTACGCGATTGGAGGACGGTCGTCCAACCAATCATATCGTCTATTACCTTCTATAAAACATGCTCTAATTCCATCAAGAAACGTAAACATTTGCTGCTATCAATTCCTCGTGTATTTCATTGGTGTCCGCAGTTCGTGTTGGATCCAATTCAGTTCTGAGCAGTACATTACGGGTTCTCGTAGTTCTACATTTAGTACTATTCCGATTACCACAATTTGGCGTCACTCAATGGAGATTCCTGCCATTGAACCATTGAACCTCTACGGAAGCCCATCGAGAATCGAAGAGTTGGTAGAACGTTTCGGATTATGGTGCAGAATCCGAAAAGGAGGAATGTGAAATCAAACGGTCCTATTTTCGACGTTGGGCGACCGAGAGCTGTATTCCCCGGTGAAGAATTTAGCATTCCCGAATGTTTCTGCTGAATTGCTGTTCGAGAAGTTGAAATCCTTTTTGATGGACCACATTCTCTCAGTGAATTTTCAGGCCACTGAACGGGTCAAATTCAACTCAATGATTAGAGCTACCAACATACCGTGCCGTGAATTCATTCTTCAGCTGAATAAAAAGGCGTCAAAATACAACCAAGGTGATCGATTGGAAGAATAACTCTGTGATCGTCTCATTTCTGGAATCAACAACATCTTATTACAACGTAAGATGTTGGAAAAGAAAGACTACGTTTGCTGAGGCTTGAAAAATCTCTGAGCAAAGTGATGACTTGTGTGCTGCCACAAATAAGGATACTTCTGTGTTATTCCATCGGCAATCAACTAAACCATTACGTGATGCACTGAGTATTCATAATTCACTCCCGGTTCCTCAAGTACCCAGTTCAAGCCGAACACAACCGAAGGCTGCGAACAACCGCTGCTTTTCATGTGGTGAATACCATCTTCGTTCTACTTGTCGGTTCCGCAATGCCACTTGCTATGCATACGGTAAGATGGGCCATATCGGCAAGGTATGCCGAATGCCCAAGTGCAACCTCATCGATTCCCATATACCAACTGCAGATGAGAATTCCAGCCCAATCTACACGCTGCAGACCACTGAACCCAACAGCCAATTTGTGTTCACCCCACTGAGGTTCGAGTCTGGTGTGGAGCATCGATTCATCATGGACACAGGAAGCATCGAATCTATCCTACAGAAATCGGCACTCACTGTGATTTGTCCCAAAGCCGTTGTAACCCCGACTTCAGTGCGCATTCATGGGGTTACCGGCCATCAATTGCAATCACTTGGCTGGACGATGTTGTGCGTTCAGTCTGAATTCGGTGTGTCAATCCCAATCCGATTCCTAGTATCAGCCCACAGTCCGTCTATTATGGGCTTGCGAGCAATGCGGCTACTACAAGGATCAATCACACTACCTACCAACAACGACAAGCCAATCACCTCACATCTTCAACATTTGATTGTACAGTGCTCCGGTTACGTTGGTGGCATGAAGGTACCGTCGGTAAAGTTGGAAGTGGACGGTGAACCTGTTTTCCTAAAACGACGGATGCTCCTGTACGATCAACGGAAAGTTGTCCTGAAAGCGTTACAGAAAATGGGACAGGATGGTGTGATAAGCAAAGTTGAGTCCAGTGCCTGGGCGACCCGGATTGTCGTGGCGATGGAAGTGATGATAGGACACCACGGATCTGTGAAGACTATCGACTGACGTTGAATCCCCGNTGCCAGTGTTTTTCCAAGATCGAGTTGGCGGACGCATACCTACAGATTCCACTCGATGTCGAATCTCGCTACTTGACAACAATCAACACGCCGTGGGGAATGCACCAATGTAATTTTCTCCCGTTCGGGTTGCATGTATCATCTGGCCTATTCCAATCGGCAATAGACAGTGTAATCAATATCAAGATGACGTCCTCATTTTCGGTCTTAATACGAAAGAACAGGATGCCCATCCTACGCAGCTACTGGGACGATTCGTCGCCACGAACGTGGCTATCACGCTGTCCAAATG